TCAAAGAATTATTGCTTAAACAGCTTAATTTTAACGGTTCATTTCAGATCACTTAAATATTAAAAATTCATATCAATCGGAAAATATTTAATTGATTTTCTTTTAAAATAATATTTCATTTCTTCCAAATTTTCCTAGATTTTCTTTCTCTGTTTAAAGAAAATAGTTGAGCGAACTAATGGCATAACATGTCGAAAATTAAGCCTTTAGGATCTGATAGGAATAAATCTGATATTAAAATATCGGCGTATTGCTGGCGAAATATCGGTACTTTCTTTTCAAACCAAATGGAGCTAGCCTAGCAAGGAATGAGCACAAATGGCTTACTTTACTTTACTTACTTAGGCCAATGAAGATAAGGAAAAAATTTGTTATAAGTTTAAATAATTCATTACAAATGAATGAAAATTTCTTAACGAAGGAATTTTAAAAAATTATGATTGATTCGAAGAATAAAACATAATCGACGGACGACACAACATTCATATTCAGCTGAAGAGCTTTTCCTTTTAAAAACATTCAATTTTTTATTTGCCCATCTAAAGAAATAATTAATAATGGATAAAACGAACGTTCAGTCATTCATATAAATTATCAATTCAATAATTTTTAGATCATAAAATTTATAATATTTAGTAATAAAACGAGCAAATATAACCGAATGGCTGACAGTATCGGTTTGAGAACTTAAGGGTTGAATTTTTAGGGTACTCGATATACTATAGATGCAATTAAACTTATGTCGCCAAATGAATTCCTGATAAAAACTATAGTAATAGTTAGTGCAGCGGGCTTAACAAGAAATAATAAGCGTTAATCGCATACTTCGCTTACTTAGCAATAACAGTAATAATAAAAACGGTGATAATAATGATAATGGTAACAATAGTAATAATAAAGACTTTTATTAAGAGATGAATTTAAAAAATAATTCGACTCATAAAGCAAATTTGGCGAAAACGACGGATGTTTTCTAGAATGGTTAAAAATAAACAAGAATTATTTCATATTTAATAAAATATATTAAATTTTGGCATAATAATTTTATCTTTTATTCTAAGAGTGCTCATAATCTGCATTTCCGACCCGCTCTACTGGCCAGGTCAGACGATGAGTTGCCAGATCACCAGATCATTCAGATTTTTGAAAATAAGAACTATTTTTGTTGGCGGTTCAGCTGATTTTATTTCATTATGGTCGCTCATTTAATTGGTCATTTATTATCCTTTTTGGCGATTTAGGCGATATTGCCTCTATTTTGTTAATATGACAAATATATTTAAGGAACTTGGAAAACTTGGAATTCACATATTCCCAAAATTTTTGCCTTTTCAGTTGCAAAATATTATTCTTTCAATCATTAATTTTATTGAAAATCGATTAAAACTATAAAATTAGCGAATATTGTTGTTAGAAAGGCGATTGATTTGGGCTCTAAGTTCAAGGAAAATTCGTGAGGCTAGTTATTCGAAAACTTTAATTTCGTTTTCACTTGTTCAGTTCGACTTATTCCTTAAAAAATCTGATGTATTTCATTTTTATTCTATTATTTTTATTATCTGATATTTTATTTTATTATCACCTATAATATTACTTTTTTTGTTATTTTATTTTTTATTATTATTTTTACTATAATGCAAATTATTTAGAAGAAGAGTTTTCTAGGGCTTCAATGAGTTTATCTCCTATGCTCATTTTGATTTCACTTTTATATATTCCTGGAAGTCCATTCATGACTTAAAATTAAAATGTAAGTCACAGCGTTCTGTGAAATTTCGTTATTTGTGTTTTACAAGTGAAAAAATCTTTAATAAGCCGAGTAGGAAAAAATAATTCATAAATTTACTATATATCGCTATGTATATTTTTTGCATAAATCTAAAAAATTGGTGAAAAATTTTGAAAAAAATTCACTTTACTTTTTTACTTTTCACTTTTTTCACATTTTTCACAAATTTGACGTGTCAAAATTACTATTTAATAGTGAAATTTATTGTCTTTTATAGAAAATCTAGCATTTCCACTTCTTTCGATCTAAATATTTCGTGTATGGATCAAGGGAAAACATAAAGTTGACTATTTAATACTATTAAAAATTAAATAAATAATCTTGCAAATAATCTTAGAAATGGAACAAGTTTAGGAGAATTCGATTGATGGCGGCGACTCACCTGTATTTCTATCATCAACGGACTCACTGGCATATTTATCCAGTCCGAAAAACCAGCGGAGCGAATCTAACCAGCCGTATTGAGTGCTATTTAAACAGAATTGTATAGTTGACATTTTTACTACATAAAAAATGTATGCGATGCTTAAAATGATCTCATCTTGGCAATAGCTCAGCTAAACTCTTTCTTATAATACGAAAATAACGTGATAAAAAATAACGGAATATAAGTATAAGATTAAAAAAAAAGGTATTTTATGAAAAAATTTTTTTTAAAGAGCGTAATCACTTCTGATTAGTTCCGCTCGTCATACTATACAAACTTTACCAGAGAGTCACTTGACAACAGATGAGGGGCCAACACAAGTCGAATTTTTCAAAGATAGCCTTATTCCTACCTAATATCTATGCTCCGAACGAGTGACAGCAACCCAATGAGCCATTCTATCCTCAAGGAACAATAAAAAGAAAAGTGGTTTTTAACAAATTTCGAAAGGTTTAAAGCTTTCAAAGAAGAATTATAAATGTGAGAATTCTTATGTCAATATAAAATTACAAATGAATTACGAATTTTATCAGTAATATCGGCAAGTTAAAAAGATTTTTCTGTAATTTTTTATTGCAAAATCTTTATTTCATTTTTGCATAATTGCGAAAAATTTAATTATATACTTCTAATTAAATAAAATAGAGAAGAAAAAGCAAAAAGTAAAGTTTAAAAAAATTTTAAGATTTATAACAGAACACTGTATCTGTAAAAGATAAGCAAAAAAAATTTTTACACCTAATAAATTCACCCCAACTCATACTGTTGGAGAGAAAAATGGCTCAGTGGGTTCTTGCTTTAATCGGAACGCTAATGCTGAGGTGCTGAGGTTCCATTCCCCACAAGAGTAAATGAACTTCACCAACTATCCCGATGATGCTGGTGACTTAACTTCTATCGCCAAGAGACTCTCTGGCGATAAACCAGCGAAGCGAGTCTAACTAATAATAATGAAAGCTCTTAAAAAAAAGTCTTTAGAATATGTGGACAAATCGAAAGAAATAGGAATTAAAAGGCTGCGAAATAATTATGCCTTTAGGCAATAAAAATGCGTTAGAAAATAAATTAATTACTTTCAGATTTTAACATAAAAATGAGAAAAAACTGAGGTATTATCGTTCATGGTAATATATTTTAATAAATTAATAAGATAATCACCATAAAAACAAAAGTCCACATCTATATTGCTGTGATCCATTCGATTTTACTATATGGTTCTGAGAAATGGCCAATGAGAATAGAGGGTATCAAGAAGCTATCTACCTTTGACCGCTTTTGTTTAAGGTACATACTACGGATCCGTCGAGTCAGATAAAATATCACAAGATCGCATCCATCTTCGTTCAAATATCACTTGCATAAATAAGAGCGCCGCCTTCGCTGTTTAGAGCACATTCTTTGTCGTACACCACAGGAGTTGACGCATATTTCGTTATTCGCTAAAACGTGTGATGGTTGGCGCCAAAAGTTGGGGGTGATGGACCAATCAAGACCTGGACTGATACGGTGAGAAAAGATTTTGAACGTATAGGTGGAACAGCAATATATGGACTTAGACGATGGAAAAAGGAATGGCTTCCATTAATGTCGACGATGGCATCATGCCCCCCTTGGAAGCGTCTTAGCCGTTGGAGCCAGCCTAACCAGTAATGGTGAGAGCTGTTAGAAGAAGAAGAAGAAGAAGATGTTTTAATAAACTAATAAGATGCCGATCGAAAATAAACTCTTTGTAAATTCTTATCACAACAATCATTTTGGCTACAATAATATTAACAACAGAGCAAACTGAACGAAACTAAGAGAGCCTGGATTTTATGATAAAATGCGACAAGCTCCAATCAAGTTCCGGGTTAGCTGATCATGAGAGGTCATGAGAGGTTTTAAACGCATCGATAGGTCAGGTACTGAGGTTGAATTATATATAAAGAATGATTGTTGTGATAAGAAATGATTTCTTTTACTTATAATTGCAAAGAACCAAGATCTGCGAATGGCCATTTGCAGCCAGTTGATCCAACCTAACAATCTATTGACATCTACTGGCACGAACTGTTTGAAGAATATATGCTTTAAAAATTCATTCATATTTTATCATAAATTCATAAATTCATATATTCGAAATTTTTCTGATTCATTTGATCAGCTGAAGCAATTAGAGACAGTATAGCATCTTTTTAATAACTATTTAGAATTACAAATTATGAAGTGAAATAGTAAAATGTCTTTAGAAAATGACGAAGGCAAGCACGCAATCTTTTAGAAGAATATTTGGATACAGTATCGACCCAGGACATTTTTCTCACTATATTTTTTACTATCTGCAAAAATTTTTTTAATTTTATTTTCCAAATATATTAACTGATTTTGTGAGATATTTTTTATTGAAGTTTTTTTAAATTTAATTTACAACTTCTACAATAGAAAAGAATGTTAAGAGATACAATATTACGGTAGGATTCCGCCAGAATTTTTTGACACCACAAGCAAATTCGATCACATCATAAATTCTAGGATTATAGAAAAATTTGCAGGGTTAAATCACAACTTAAAAAACTGTATCGCATTCGCATTGAAATAGTCTTCAACTAACGAGAAATGCATCGATGTCGAGTAAATTTGGTGAAGTGCCTCGATTCCAAACAGAATAAAAAGGCGAATATCCTGATGCAGATAATGGATCAAAGTTGGGTGAGGATCGTTCGCTACTGAAAGATGTTCAAAGTATTTAATTGCTCATTCATTACAAATATATATAGCATTTAGAAGAGACCAAAGTGATAACTGTTAAGTGAAGTGAAAAATGGATATCTCATCGATTTTTAAAATATTATCTGACACTTTAATAAAAAATGCGGTTTTATATTTTGAAATAGCGATTAAATTGGTACTTGTTGAGATTGATATAAGCAAAACACCTGTTTATAGGACTTAAATAAGGTGGCATAAGTGAAGGTGAGGAAACTGCAACTAATGCATCCACATTATTATCATTAAATGTGCAGCCGATTAATTTTTCGGATGGTCTTGGAATATCTACGTCCGCTACAGTACTTGATGCGTCGATGCTGAAAATAGTTCAGAACGAATTGGAACTATATTGGAACTTATAGTTGGAGTTTCTAAATAAAATAACCTGCATTCGCCAGGTGAAAATTCGCCAAGGGAGGTATTTAAATTTATATGATCAAATTTGGTCCCGTAAAATCCTGAAATTTCTAATTTTCAATCCAACTTAGTAGTAAAATAGACATTAAATCAAATTATCATCAATTAAAGGTTTGAATTTGTATCCAAAGCATATAATCAGCAGTGATAAGAATGAATAGTTTATTAGTTCTTAGCGAGTTTAATGAATACCATTTTGTAAGCGATGTGGCAATTTTTGTTCATCGCTATCAGCAAGAATTAATTCTTCCATAAGTTTGCCAATATGAGCAACGCCAGATAGTTTAGATACAAGAATATCTTCCGATATCATTTTAGCAAGTGACTGAATTATTCATTAATAAGAAGAAACCATTACTTTAAGAGAAAATAAAAATATTGAAAAAAATGAGTATTTCTCGAATACCTGTAAAGGTGAGAGTATAAAAAAAGTCAGATCACCAAGTCGATTCGGGTCCTGAGGAATTTGATTAACGAGATACGATTCAAGAGCGTTAAAAATTTTTCGACGAGTGGACAATACATGCATAACGGTATTTTTCGATAAACCTTTCGCAACTGAAAAAAAGAACATTTCACTAGTATCTTCATATTATCATATTATCATTAGTACGCTGATAAAATAATTTATTTATTTATTTGCTATCTTTATATACTTTTATAGCAATATAGCATATAGCAATCTTTATATACTTTTCTTTTCTATGGTTTTAGTGCTTTTTATAGAATAACTAAGATGAAAAATTATAATTTATACAGAATTAATAGTTAAAGCAAAAGGTTAAAAGGCCATTGACAATAAGTTATTACCATCTTTTTATATTATATCATAGTTTTTTATGATATTATCGCTTAATGCTTTAAGATAATAAAGAAATTTTAGGCTAATGACAGTTTACGACCAGTTTGTTGCTAGTCGAAAAATCTAGATTGAACTATTAGACGAAGTACCACATATGATTTAAGCTATGAAATTAAGAGAGGAAAGAAGGAAATAATTAAAATATTTGTAATTTAAATATTAAAATATAACAATATTTATGCATTTGTGTTTTTCATTAAATTATTTTATTAATATTCGATTTTATTTTTCGTTGTGTTTCGTTGTCGACCAATAATCAGATCCCGGCTATCAAATTTATTAGTTGATTCCAGAAAATTTTAAGAAAAAAAGAGATTGAAAGAAAAAATTGAGGCAATTAATAGACAACCTGGATTGAATAATACGCAAGCTTTCATTGCAACAAATTCTATATCATCTACTTTTAAAAATCTCATTGGTTCCACTAATTCGTCCAAAACTCTTTCGCAATCGCGTAAATAGAAGTTCCTAAAATTATTCATTAAAATTATTTATTATCAAACCAAATCAGACCAGTAAATAAGCTGAATTAACTTATCTTATTTTTATTTTTCTTTTCTTTTTCAAATTTGAAAAAAAATGAAGAAATTATTGAAAAATTTCTCAATATTAGGTTAAAGAATAAATTCAAAAATAAATCTATTCTTTTTTTAAACAATTCAATTCAAAATACTCTGGGAATTCTGTATTTTCCATTTCATGAAATCGAGGAATACAAGAATCGTTGATTAATTTCAAAAAATCAGAGTTATTTTTGGAACGATATGCGACACATAATATGACATGCTGGCCAGCAAAATTGCGAAGAAGTGCGGCCTGAATTCATAAAATTACGAATTCAACAGATAAATAGAAATATGAATTAGCAACAGCTGTTAATTTAAAGTGCGAGATGAGGTGCGAGAGTCACTCGCCACTCAATTCGGTTTTATTCCTATGGGAGAGCTGTACCAAAAGCAATATCTGATTTGTAATATCGTATTCTCTTAAAGCTCTTAGCAAAACAGCCTTTATACCACAAAATTTAGTTAAAGGACAATAAGTGGTCAACAATTTAGCTCTTTGGATAAAGATTAACAAAGCATATTTTTTTCATGGGTGTAGAAGAATAGATTCAGGGAATCCAAGGGAGATCGATCGGCTTCATTGTATGATTCCAAAAATTTAGTAAAATTTAATAGAATTTTCTATTAAGATGCTAATTTTGTACATGGACAAAAAAGATCTCTTCTTCATCCCCTGTGGGTGGCAATGGTCATGCTCAACCTTAGTTGCTCTACCAGAAGTCTGGAAGGTCTAAGGTTCTGCGCAATAACTTAGCTGTTCCTAATAATACGCTCTTCTGGATAGAGATAGAGAGACACAATTTTAACGGCATATAAATTTGGATAATACCTAATATGATTTTATTTCAAATCGCCAAGTTTGGCAAAATTTGCCTGGTCCGATAAGCTATCGACCAGCCAAGTTTAATCAAAAATTGTGGAAATTATTGGAGGAAAAAAAATTTCTAATTTAGAGCATAAATATAGATTAAATACGATAAAAGAACTTGATCCGCTGAAGATAAAACTGCAAAAGGTGGTAAAGTTTTCGCCCATTCGATAACTAATAAAAGTTGGCTATGAATACTTAAAAATATATCATTTACAGTCGCTTTGCGTTTTCCATCATCCATATTTTTCTAAATATATTTTTTATTAATATAAAATCATTTTTCAGAATTTTCAAATTATCGAAAAATTATTATTATTTTCTGGTATTATTTATAATCGTAAATTGATAAATTGATAATATCGATATGCGATCGTACTTTCTGGATTAAAGCTAAAATAGTGAAGAGCTTTCTCAGTTTTTTTTTATTGGCCAAATTTTGCTACTTTTTTATTCCAGTGCATTTTTATATTATGATAAAATTTCCCTTAGAAAGATTGAACTGAAACTGACTATGTAAAAATTAAATCTGGATGACTAGAGAACCCAATTATTATACTATTGCCTCAGAGTAACCCTGTGGCAAAGAAAACATTTAGCCCAGGCGTTTATGTGCTTCAAAGGCATAATATGGAATTGCGTTTCCAGCTATATCATTAAAGAATAGGAATCGCCAAAAAGAACAGGAATTCTCATAGTCAGAGGTAATGAAACTTTAAGATAATGAAACCTCGAAGGTGATCTTCGGGGCGAATTATGCAAATTTCTAGCGTCTTTTCCAAATTCACAGGGTAAAGGACAAATAACAACTTATACCATGTGAGTAGGGTAAAGCATTTTTCATATGATGCATCAGCTTATTTAATAAAATAATTAGAAAAATCTTTACCTTTCTTCTATTGACTTATAGCAGTACAGCTCTTAGATATGATATCATAAGGCTTAATGAAGGACCACACAGTCATTATATTGCATTGTATTGATCTGTGTTGCTATGATCAGATCAGATTTTGGACGAGTCTTGTGGGTTAAGATATGCTGAGGTTCTATTCTTCATTGGGAAAAACTTGTTGGAAAAATTCGAGTGATGCTGACGACTCACATCTACCACTATCGAATCAATGCACTATTTGGAATATTCTTTCAACGTAGGGAGCCAGCGAAACGGACTTTAAAAAAGCATTGGGTAATTTCAGATATTTGGTCGCGAGGCTTGAAAACAGGCCATTATAATTGTTGCTTCATTATACTCCATCAACTCTCAGCCAAATTTTTAGAAAAACAATATTTGTACTATCCAACTCTTTGTATTGGATTAAATGAAAAAAAACCTAAGAATTTTGATGCAAAAAATTACTGGACATTCTTTTTTGAGTGTATATTTCACTGATCCAGTTTGTTTAATAACGGTTTCTCTTAAATTTTTAATTTTGTTCTCCGATACCAATAAACTTTCGAGAAGTGATTTTGGATTATCCCAAGAATTCAATTTTTGTGATAGCGATGAAGATTGAATGGAAAATTCGCTGCAAACAACAACTTTTTATAGTCTAAATTTTTGAGCAAATAGAAAATATAGAAACAATTATTTTTCAAAAAATTACCCTATTTTTTGGCTAACTTACTTATCAACAGATGAGCGAAGAGCCTGCTTGTAAAACGACGATTTCTCTTGATTATTCTTGATAACGGAATCAGGAACTATTACGGTCGATGCACTTTTAACTGTCAATAATGATGTTAATCTTTGTCGACTTCCAATAATATCACGTTGATTTTGAACAGCTACAAAATAAAGTTAACCACAGATAAATCGGAATTTTCACTTTTATGATAAGTTGTATATATGAAATATGAAAAGCTGATAAAGCCGATAAACTTTTTTTATAAAAAGTTTATACTGCTAATTGGATAAATAACTAATAGAACCAACCGTCAACCTTCATTCCAGCATTAATGCATCTCATAAATCTACACGCACGGCAGACTGCTCGGTTATCTTAAGTTATTTTTATCAATATTCATCGATTCTATTAATTACGCGCTAAATAATCAATTTTCAAAACTTATGTCATTGCTTTTTTATCAATTATCAGTTGTCATTATCTAGAAATATATCAAAACATTACTAATTTTGATTTTATACCTCCAAAATTTAGTTTCAGTAGAAAATTTGATTTAATTTTTTACTAGAAAATTTTTTAAAAATATTCAAAGGAAAAAATCAAATTTTTACGTTTATCAATATTGCAGCTGTTGCTAAATCTGCAAGTATATTTATATGATCTGCGAATTGTGCGTCGAAAGAAACCTGTAAAATATCTTAATTTTTAATCATTTAGTGATAATTCAGTAAAATAAGGAATCTTTATGATAAATTAGGAAAATGAAAAGGAAATTGAAATAGATCTTATGATGAAATGACTTGGCGGGTTTTAAGACATTCAAATCAATTTGAATTTAAGGCTTGAAATGAAAATTAACCTTTACAACCATTGCAGGCAATGGTGCCATAATGCCTACCTGTTGCCTGATCACCGCAAACAATACAAAGCAATTCAAAATTATTCTCTGCAAAATCAACCTTTTGATTTGCAATTTTACAACCAAAAAAATGATAAATTAATGTGCAAGAAACCTAATTATTATTAGATAATTGGCAAAAATGGATTTATAATAAAATATCTAAAGGTTGAAATCCTGTCGCCAATAGGAGCAAATATGCCATCGTAAAATCTGAGTGGTGTAGGCTATTAACCTATCAGCGAATGATCTGCCAAAAATAACCTAATAAGGCCAAGGGAAAGCGAAAGATATATAAATTAAAAAGAATAAAATTATAGCAGATGAAATGTCTTAATTTAGCAATGACAAAATAATAAACGAACTTTTACCAGTACCTAAATTATCTTCAATGGCATTCATCTTTTATCACATATATGTTGCTAGTGATCATATCATTGCCTTATCATTTTTTGTAATATACCCTGAAATAAAAATTGCATCCCATTTTATGCTTCTTTAAGTGAATTAAATGAAAAATGAAGAATTTAAAAATTTCCTGCGAAAAATCACTAAAAAGCCTGAAAAATAATAAAAAATTCATACAATTGCAATTATAGTTTATTTATTTCCTTCCTTTCCTTCACTTAAAAATAAAGCGATTTTTATTTTTTATATAGAGGTATAAATAATTCAACCCAGTGGAATGCGATAGCCTTTGGCATTTCTACCGGTCCAAATTCGATACTCGTAGGATAGAGCTTATTTGGAGAGGAAAACTAGCTTAGCCAATAGATCATCGCAAAAAGAATTCAGCCTCAAGCATTACCAAAATATACAAAAAAGATACGTGTAAAAGATACATTGTCGAATAAGCGCACGCGCCTCAAACTATTTTATGAAGAAATGCGAACATAAAATTACTAAAATACATATTACAACATATATTGCGATTAAAAACGCAACTGTTTTCGTTAATTTCTGCAATTTATTTGGAGAAAAATATTGATAAATACAGTGGAAAACGAGACAAATATGCATCGACAATAAAAAAATTGAGCCTGAAAGACTAAAAGCCTAAGCTCTTGCAAATTTTAAGGCCAAATAGCTGCATAAGAAATTTTTTTAAAACAGCAATTTTTTAAAATGATTTTCATCTTTAAAAATTTTATCCTTTATTTAAAATTCTTCATTTTTAAAGTTGAATTTTTCATTCATTAATTCATTTAGAAAGAATTTAGAATTTACCTTTTTAAAGGAAGGTAGAATAATAATAGAATAATCGAAAATAGAAACCGAATTGTTGCTGCTCAAATTGTTATCTTAAGAATAATTAGAATAAAAAATAACTATTAGCATTTCGGGAATAAATTTGTCCGAGTGGTGCTGATGGCTTACCTATAGCTAAATAGGCTCTCTGGCAAAATTTTCTCACTATATTAACAGACGATTCGGCAAACCTTTAACCAGATAAATACTAAGTAAAGCGCGGAAATGAAAGCCACTCGTTTATGTGCCGAAATTTTTTTTTAATAGTTCTCACCATTACAGGTTAAACTCGCTCCGCTGGCTTGTCGCACTGGACAAATATGCTAAGGAGTAAATATCCCCTGACGATAGAAATACAGGTGAGTCGCCACTTACTTCTACGGGGATTAAAACCTCAGCATCGACGCTCTGAATTGAGCAACAACCCAACGAGCCATATAATAAAATAAAATTTTGACAGCAAAAAAACTGGATGAAATTTTTGAAAATTAAAATTATAAAAGTGTAAAAGTGTAAGCCTTGCTTCGTTGGATTAGTAGAACTAGCTTAAAGCAGCCTAATCTTTTGTTAGTGAACCACTTGGATGTAAAAGTACCGATAAATATTCAGCGCAACACCGCTTCCATAAATAATTTTGCTTAACTCTTCCTTTAAAAAAACTACACACAGATGAAGATGAAATAAGTATGCTGGCTAATTTTCTGATTTATTTTAATGATAAGAATAAGCCCATAAGGCCCATACATTTTGCTTATAGGCTTTGGCCTCTCTGAACCAAAGCTGGTTCTTATTAATTTTCAATTTTTGAAAAATCTTATTAGATGGGTTATGCATTTTAGCAAGTAATTTCGTAAAGTCAACGCAAAAAAAGTTGTCTCTTTAAGCGTTAAAACTTATCGACTTGCACTCCTCTTAAGCACATTGGTTGCGTGTTGGTTGCATTCTTAAAATTATTCATTTTAACTGAATAAAAGTTTTACAAGTTTTACTGATTTTAAAAAACTTAGAATAACTCAGTGGGTTACTGCTCTCATTTTGACGCAACAACATTGGGCTTTTTCTTTTGGCTAAGATAAATCTATTTTTCGAAATTCTGAGTGGCATTTTTATTTTAATACTTTATATTATAGAGTTTCACGAAAATTTTTTAATTCGTAAGGGCGTTTAATTTGAATTTTTGGCTAAATTATTCGATCCATTTGCTTGAATTTTGAACTTTTCTTAATATTCCACAGAAACAAAAACGAATTATAGTAATAGTATCATGTAAAATATTGGCAAAAAGGCACTTATGGGGTTGGTTTTTAGCCGAAAAAATAAATAAATAATTAGAAAAACGAAGTTATAAAATTTTTGTTAAAAAATGTACGATTCTTCTCTTAAAGACGATTTGTTTAATATAAATATCATCGAAAATATTATTTTAATACAATAAATTTACTTTTTATTAAATTTACTTTTTTATTAAACTAATAGATAAACAAAAAAGGCAATAAATATGTATTCATTTTCAATAATTCTTTTCTTCCTACGAAATTTTCTTTAAAGATTTTTTTATTTTTTCTTTGAAAAAATATTCAATTTTTGTTAGATCTTTGAGATTTTTCATAAAATTTTCTTGATTTCACGTTAAATAAGTCATTTAGATTTTACAAATTCCATCAATTGCTACCAAATTCCATTCGCTTAATTCCACTCAGTCACAGGCTAAGTTATGATAAATTTATCAAAAAAAGCGCTTCTAACGCGTTAAAGCCAAATTGATTTGATGGAAAATACTTAAAAAATAAATAAGCGAAGCAAGCAGTCAAAATTTTTAAACATTCACATTTCCTATGTTATTTTACTTTAAACTATTTTGCAAATGCTCTAATTTAATACGCAAAGTAATGGAGTTAGTTAGTTAGTTTTCTTTAGAATCAAATGATTAAATTTGAAGAAATACAAAATAGTATTTGCAGTGGCGCCAAAATATAATATTATGATGATAATATAACAAATTTGATAGAATTTTTCCGATAAAACGCAAAATAAATGGCTATAATTATTGCCGAAAAATTATTCAAATTAATAAACATAATATTATATATATATATATTATAATAATAATAAATAAATATAAATAGCAAATTTTAGAATTTCTAATTAACTGCTATGGACCCATTTCACCTCTGTAAATGACTCTTTGGATAGAACATCGCTTACAATGAATGCAGCCAACTAGACCTTTGATAAAAAAAAGGAATGAATAGATAATTGACATAATAGAATATTATCAAAAATATTCACCTTACAAAAATTTTATGAAAGATAGTATGGAAAAATTATTATAGAAATAAAAAAGACTTGTATAGAAGAATGGAAAGCAAAATTTTTTCTTTAAATTGCAAGAAATAATCAATGAAATAAGAAATAGTTGTTGATAAGAAAAATGAGATGATTCGAGAGAATGTTGATATTCATTCATTCAACTATTTGTTCATAAAACTAGAATCATATTTGCCGATGACACCTAAAATTGAATTCCGCATATAATCAATTATTTTAGAGAAATAAATTTTAAACTTTGATTTAATTTAAAATCCACTGATTATTTGAATCCATCGAAGTTGATGTTGGTGACTTTCAGATTCATTCTTGTCAAAGAGCAGAGAGTCGAACCACACTACGGTGGTGTAGAACGATGGTAAAAATATTCCGATTAAAAAAAATTTCAATTAAAAAAATTCACAATAATAAATAATTTAAAGTTTCAAATCCTTATTGATTCTTATAAATTCTTGCAAATTTAAAGAAACATTTATATTTTATTAAATTATTATATTATTTAATACTCATTATAATTCATGAAATTACATGAAATTATTCAAAAATTAAATTATTAAAATCAGGAGAAATTAAAAAAGGCTTGCACATTATCAGTAAATGATGATTACTCTTATCACATGTTGTTGATTGATCAATTTCACCGAATATTTCTATAAATTGTATCGCAAAAATCATCATTGCGCAAATTTTAAAAGTTGATTTTTTTTATTTTGTAGATAACTTATCAGTACAAAAATCAAATATACATTTTCTCAAATTTTTTCGAAAATTCCGCAAATCCAACTAATTTTCGTATTAAATCTAATCTACCGATAATTATTTAGTTGCTTCACAGTTATTTCACAGTTATTAATTCACAGTTTATAGTTATTTCGCGCTTTGTTTGGTTTATTATTTGAAGATGGCATAAACACATGAATACTAACTATCTGGGTTATTTATTCATCCATTTAGATTTCGCTCTATCAACCAAATAAGATTACGCAGAGCAATCATCTAAAGGCATTCTTTGCCAGACAGTGAATTAATCGAACCAAAGATGCAAACGACACAGGTGGATTAGATGCAGATGAGACAGTGTTCTTAGGCTTCACTTTTTATGAGATGCTTCAATTCACCAAAGCGAAGCCCATTCTCATTATTCTTAATATTCAAAGTTCATTACCAACTGCTCAATGCCAGAAATTTCAACAATGATTATTAAAATAATGTGATAGCATATGGTACAATTATGTATTATCTGATTTGATGTTAATTTTTTTTAGTAGCCACACCATTATTGTTTTAGACTCGCTCCGCTGGTTTGTCGCACTAGACAAATATACCAGGGAATCATATGGCGATAGAAGTAGAAGTGAGTCGCCAGCATCACCTGGGATTAGTTATTAATATAAATATTGTAAAAAATTAGGGTAATAAATAAGCAATTCTAAATACACTTTGCACTGCAGGAAATGAACTTTCATTAAATAAATTTCATGCATGAAAGGTGATAATTTTTTAAGAATCATAAATTATTCTTCTGGCCATATTGTATTATAAACATTAAAAGGAAGGATATGAATAATTCCAAAAAAATTTCACGTTAAAAATTTTTCGTGTTTATACCTTTAAAAATTCCTTTCCTTAAAAATATTTTACTTATTTATACTTAATTTGCTTATTTAAATATAGCCAATAGCAATGAATAGCAAAAAATTTAGATTGAATTATTAATAAAATAAACAGGATGAAATTTTATAAAAGGCTTATCATCTTGTAATATAATGATTGATAACCTTTTCTAAGGCACAATTTTTCTTATTAGAAATATATTTTAAATATTTGTTGTTGATTTTATTAATAAAGAAAATAAGTATTGAAAAAGAGAATTTTTAATTGAATATTTTAGTTGTTATGAGATATTTGTCATTTGTGATTAAAAAATAAGGTAAAAAGTTTTCACATGACAATTATTTGTTAAGTCTATAAAAAACCTAAAAACCTTACATGAAAGGCCTTGCATAAGTATTCCATGGAACTATGAAATTAAAGTTATGCCAGAGATTTGAGAAACGGTG